AGTTCTAGCCTCCCAAAATATCTAAAAATTGTTTGCAATAAGATAATATTATTCTTTATTGCTAGTGTTTATTTCAGTTAGACTATTATTTTTAGAATGTTGTTCATGTGTTTTCTTTTATAAATTCAGATCGGTGCATGATAGAATCGAGTTATGTTTCAAATATGAAATTCTTTATATTTAGGCTCGAATTTGAGATTTTAATTAATAATAGAGCAGTTTCACAATCTATTTTGTTATGTTATATATGTCTTATGTTATAGTTTGAGAGTTATTAATGTCGAAGTGAATTATTCCCACGCTTATTTGGTGTAAATTTAGTGTTTGCAATGGGATACATCAATTTTTAATTTTTCATCTTAGGATCAATATTAGTATTAGTTTGAGTTTGTTCCAAGTCAAACATGATCCTATATAAAATTATTTTTATATTTAAAACTCAAAATATATCGTTTAAATTAAAAGATAACAACATCATCAACTATATCCTTACCTAATATTTTACTAGTCCAGTACTCAGATATAAGTTACGATGAAAAATGAATTTTCAAAAATAATATGGGAAACTACCTTTCGATTTCATTTTTCCTTCTTTTATGTGGGATTACTACTGCAGAAAGCCAACTCTTTAATTCCTACCTAACTCTACCGTCGAGTTGTCCTGCGCCGGACCCTGCACTTAATTACCGGCCGATCATCGGAATTGTGAGTCATCCCGGCGATGGCGCCACCGGCCGACTCAGCAACGCCACTAATGTCTCTTATATTGCAGCTTCCTATGTTAAATTTGCTGAAATGGCTGGTGCTAGAGTCATTCCCCTTATATACACTGAGCCTCCCCAAGTTCTCAATCAAGTATGTAAAGATCAATATTTTGATTAACAAATTTGACAGTTGAAAGGATTTTTTATTCTTTGTAATTTTTGTCGGTGCAAATTATGCTGGAAGTATGATTATTATATATCTCGAATTTAAGCTCCATGACCATAGATTTTGAGTAGATTTTTTTTTTAAATAGTCGGAAACATTGTTTGTTCGTGAAATTTACTCAGTTTTTCAAGTTTCAAGTAAATCTATGGCCAAATGCTTAGCTAATTGAATCAGTCAGTCAGTACTCAGAGAGCTTCAATAGTCACAAAGGTATTATAGCATGGATTGTTTGACATTTGTTTATTGAATTTGTTTTTGCAGAAGCTTAATCTAGTAAATGGCATTATCTTCACTGGAGGTTGGGCCAAAGATGGTCTATATTTTGATGTTATTAAAGGAATTTTCCAGGTGATTATCTACTTTGCTTACACCTATATAACTCTTTTTTCACTTTGAATTGCATCATCTATTTTAAAGGATATTTTATTGTTAAAGGATAGCAAAGATGTTTACAACAAATAACTAACACATCCAGTGCGAGTCTGATACGGAAGAGTCTACACAAGCTTTACCCCTACCTCAGATGTAGCGATGATGTTTTCGATAGGGGAAAAATAGTCGAAAACAGTCTAGAAAATGAAGTAATAAAAACACAAGAAATAGCATATAGTAAAAAAAACAAAACAGATAGTAACAAAACAATAACTAAGACAAAATAATATGGTAGTCGAAGTTCAAGAAACAATAGATAGTAACAAAAATCGAAGGACAAGAAACTATAGGAGCAATACTACAACAACACAGCAAAGATGTTTATTGATGAAAAAAATTGTTGTGTGAATTTTAAATGCTTACTTGATACTCGCAGAAAGTTTTGGAGAAGAACGATGCTGGTGAACACTTTCCTTTACTTGCAATCTGCTTGGGGTATGAACTTTTAACGATGATCATCACCAATGACAACAATATTCTTGAGGAATTCAGTGCAGCGAGCCAAGCATCTACAGTACAGTTTGTGGAAAATGTAAATATTGAAGGAACAATATTCGGAAGGTATATGCTTATTCTGCTCATTTATGTATTCGCCTTCTTTTTGTTCCATCTCTTCCAATTTTCTCCTTTCCTCTTCCTTCTCCATTTTTATTTCACGTAGGAAAAAAGCCAGATTACCTTATTTTAAGGTTCTGAAAAGGTAACTATAACGATTGTTCATTATGGTAAATTTAAGTGTACATTGATAGAAAAACAGTAATAGAAAATTGTAAGGCTCCCGTGATATTTTTCCTGTATCATAGTTGGTAATTATGGATCTCTCCGTTCAAGAAATCATAAGAAGCACATGAATGGAGAGCCTAATATTATTTGGAATACTCAAGAACAAAGCCCGGCCTTTTATGTGATCTGCAAGAAGCATCACTTTATTCTCTTGCCCTTGCTATGTGTAAATGAGCTGTATTTTCGTAATGATGATGACATAGCGGAGAAGGATTGTCCATTATACATTGCCTTCCCATACTTTAGAAAGCCTATTGAGCATTTGACCTGATAGCATGCTCAACTCTATATTGATTATTGAATGAGCACTAATAGATTGTCAATCGGTCAGATTTCAGTGATAATTCTTATTTGCTGATATACAACTTGCTATCAACTCCTCTGCAGATTTCCCCCCGTGTTGCTAAAGAAGATGAGTATAGATTGCCTTGTGATGCAAAATCATCATGTAAGTTTCAAAAAATTGTCCTTGTGTAGCACTTCTGTTTTCTAGCTTAATTGTGATCATTACAAGGTTTACAACACGTTTTCTTTTGTCCGGTGGAGATTGAAGTTGCTCATTGGTAACTCTTGAAGAATGTCCTAAATCTTTTAGGATACTACATCTAGTAAGGCTGTATATCAGTTTTGAGTTTTAAATTTGCATCGTCCAACATTCGAGTGTGGTCTCTGAGTTACTGCCCACAGTTCTGTTTCAGCTTGTTTCGACAAGGTGTTCATATTTATCCATGAATATTGCATTGTTCATAAACTGTCAACTAGAGATCAGTCCGTAGTATGTCCCTGCGAACATGTAATACGGGAGAGACAACTCCTTCAGATGAATGATTCATGTTAATCTTTACTCCCTCCTTTCACTTTAACGTATCACGTTTGAACTTCGCACTCCCATTAAGAAAACAATTATTGATATGACTATTTACCATACTACCCCTATTAATTGATCTTTAGTATTAGGTCTTGAAAAACGAATTAGGGAATAAGTAACTAATGTTAAGGGTAAAACATGGAAACAATAATTGTCTTTTCTTGATATATTAAAAGTGACAAGTAAAGAAAATCGATCTTTGGAATAGTGGACAACTAAAAGTGAACAGAGGGAGTACAATAATACTTTTAAGCATGCTAGATACTGCACTTGTCTTTCAGTCTCATCTTATTTGTGTTTGCTTTCAGCCTTACACGTTAAAACTTAAATATGCTGTTATGTTGATTAATTGCATGTTTCTTTATTAATGCAACAGTTTGGTATATCACCAGAAAGATTTCAAGTGAATAAAGATTTGAGTAGCTTTTTCAGGGTATTGACTACTAGTACAGATGAAAACAACAAGGTATATGTTGAATTTAACCACCTTTCTTCATTGGGATATTTCTGCCAATGTTTCCAATTGGTATGAAATCTAGTCGAGACTCTAGTTTGAACTACACTGTTTTGACTAATTCAGGTCTATGTCTCTACTATTCAAGCACAACGCTATCCTATAGCTGCTTTCCAATGGCATCCAGAGGTATATCTTTGGCTTACGACTTAGGATTTACATTTGTCTTGAACATTCAGTGTTTAGTAGTTATTAGATATAACAATGTGAGATATGACTGTTATCCTTGGATAGAATAGCTCATCTTAATGCTAGCACAAGACTAATTTAAATATTTTTGTTGCATATAGAAAAATGCTTTCGAATGGGGTTCATCAAGGATTCCACATTCTGAAGATGCAATTCAAGTCACTACACATGTTGCCAACTATTTTATAAGGTATACTCTTTTTGCTTTTCCGTCCAAGGAGGAGCTCAAGTGCAAAACGAAATATCGAATAGAGCTGACAGATAAAAAATGTTAATAAAACTGATGCTTTTGTAATAGGTAATTTCAGATTGAGTGATTCCGTTTTGGCACTAGATTCATTTATACTTCAGATTTGCAGGCTACATTTTCTTTTGGATAAAGTAAAAAGTGAAATAATTGAGTTGAATTCTTATTCCTCGAGCATGCTTTTCAAGAATTGTTGTTTTACTTCTGCATATTGTGATCACTGTTATGCTTCTAGTCTTGTGTTTTATTTCTTAATTTTAAATTGCAGTGAAGCTAGAAAATCTTCTAACAAGCCAGTGGCGCGAGAAGTGCTTGATAGTCTCATATACAATAACAATCCCACTTATGGTGGGAAGGCAGGGTAAGTCACACAGCAATTTCAGGTTGGTTGAAAATTAGGCATTGATTTTCGGAAACTTAGTTCTTTTTTGTTTCTTGTTCTGTAGGAAGGGTTATGACGAAGTTTATCTCTTCATTCCACATTCTTCCTCGAGCTCTATGTAGAGGAAAAAACAGCAGTTCAATTGAGCAATAACAACTGCACAATCTAATTACGATGCATATGAAGTTAGTGTGTGATGTAAACCGCGTTGCAACTGGCATTCAATCTCCGGATACAGTCCTCACAACCAAATGGGGAGGGAGGTAAAACTAGTTGTATCGTATTTGTTAGAGGTGGATCCATGATTTTAAGCTTATCCGTTCTGGACCACAAGCCTTTTAGCTTAATGGAGATTATGTATATTAAGTGAATTTTTTTAAAACATAAATACAGTGTCTTGCCAAAGTTATTTTAGATATTATGCATGAAATTAAACAGAGAAAATGACCATAATAGTCCTTATATTGTATAAGGTTTGGACTATTTTAGTCTTGTATATATATGAAATGGTCCTCAATGTATGAAAAAAATGTATTGTTTTGACGTAAACATCCAATGCGAGTAAATTTTTAATCTTGTATGACAGGTAACTAGTAGCATGAGCAATGAGCAATCATGAACTGTGAGTACGAGTGCAGCTTCCTTTGTATGGGCATATGATCACTTTCAATTATTACAACTACCTCCCTCCAACTGCTACCATGCATGACTTTAAAACTCGTTTGGTATTAGGGATAAATGATAACTAATTTCGATAATCAATTTTAGAACGAGTTTATCTCAGTTATCTGATTATGCACAAATCTAATAAACAATTCTTAACATCCATGTGGCTATAAAATGTTTGAGACTTGGTAATATTAAATATAACATATCATTAATAGTAAAAACAGAAGGTCTAACTTAAAATATTTTTGACTCGAGAATATGTGATTCTCTTTGAAACGGACTAATAAGGAAATATTATGCAATATGAGTAGTAGTTCTTCTATAAAAGCTCAACAAGAGCACCCCAATCATCATCTATTTTTTTTTAAAAAAAATGTCTAACTACTTCCTCATTTCCCTTCTCACCCTCTCTCTCTTCCTGGTGGTTACCACCATTGAGTCGGCGGAGCTGTTTGTCCCCGCCGGCTGTCCTTTGCCTGACCATAACCTTAATTACCGGCCAGTCATCGGGATTATCAGTCATCCCGGTGACGGAGACTCCGGTCGAATAAATAATTCGACCGGAGTGTCCTACATTGCTGCTTCGTATGTGAAGTTAGTTGAATCAGGGGGTGCTAGGGTCATTCCACTTCTTTTTGATGATTCACCTCAACTTCTCAATCAAGTATGCCACTTTATTTGCCTCCTTTATTTAAAACCTTTTACAATATAGTATATTTAATGGTCTAGAAAATATGAAATTAGCTATGAAATTTATCAATATCCGTTGTGAAATAGCTCCTAGCTAATTGGATTGTTCATATAATCCATCGCTAATCCTTATCTAACTAGAATTAGCATGGAATTTTTGTTGTTTAGCTATGAAATTTTGTTAGTCGCTAATTTCTTGTTTTTTTTCTTTTTTGTGGTTATCACATTTATTACTTACTCATAACAAAAATACATATTGATTTGGTGTAAATACATATATAAGTAAGTTTTTTAAACAATCTTTATTACTTGCTAACATGGATTTTATTTGCAGAAACTCAACCTAGTAAATGGAGTGATTTTCCCAGGAGGGTGGGCTAAGAAAGGACACTATTTTGAGACTATCAAAGCAATTTTTGGGGTAACTACGAACTTAAGTTATATACGTTAACAATATACGACGTTTTACATGATCACTGTAATATAACGTGTTATAAACATATACAAATGAGTTACTATCATTTACTATGTTATCAACTAAATGCTTGTAATATATAATATATGTCTGGTTTTAATTTTTTGAAATATATTATCAATGGTGATACTTGCAGAAAGTTTTGGAGAAGAATGATGCCGGAGAACATTTCCCTCTCCTTGCCATCAACCATGGATTTGAGCTTTTGATGATGATCGTATCCAAGGTTATTGATGAATACACGTAGCGATATCAGAAATTTTGTTAAGAATATTCGTGAGTGAATATATACGTAAAAACACTAATCGTTGTTCCTTACTATGGTGTACATTGGGTCACTATATAAACTTTTCAAACATAATAATTTTGTTACATCTTTTTATTAGGACTTTTTTAAGTATTCAATAGTTTATACAGAACGGGAGCCTTAGTAACTAGTAAAGTTATTGACATGTAAAAGGTTGTGTATAATAGACCCTTGTGGTCTGGGCCAGAGGCGGACCCACTTTTACTAGTGGGGTACATGTACATTCGTTAATTTCGGAAAAAATTGTGTGTATATATGTATATCTAGATAGAAACTAGGATATCATTTAAAGTGCATCCATGAGAAGCAAGGTAGACGAACTACTCGGAGTTCTAATGTAGTTAGAGCGCTAAATTCATTATTTTTATTTTAAATTTGGATTAGAGATCATATTTGGTGCACCTGAAGTATTCAAATTATGGCTTCGCTTCTGTCTGAGCTTTCCCTGGACCTCTCCATAACGGAAGCTTTAGTTCACCGGACTGCTCAGTAGTTCTTATATTTTGCTGTTTCCAATTTTTTTTTTCCTTTGTAACAGGACAACAACATTCTTGAGAAATTCAGTGTATCAAATCAGGCAACCAAACTTCATTTTGTGGAAACTGTAAATATTGAAGATACAATATTTGGGAGGTATTAATGATCATCTTCTATTAATTAATCACCAAACTAATTACAAGACTAATATCAATGACCAATTTTTAATTACAAATTAATATGTTTTATGCAGGTTCCCACCTACATTAGTAAAGAAGTTGAGTAAAGAATGTCTTGTGCTACAAAGTCATAAGGTGAGTCCTTTGAAAATTATGTTTGTACATCTTTAGCACTCAATTTGTTTTGATAATTCTGGTGTTCGGGTTAGCTTGCACGTGCCACCTCTCACCAGCACAGATAACAGGAAATTAAATATTTTGATTTACTTTTGTTCCCCTCATGCAACAGTATGGTTTATCACCAGAAAAATTTCAAGCAAATGATGATCTATCTAGCTTTTTCATTATGTTGACTACTAGCACGGACACACGCAACAAGGTACATTAGTCTATTTTCTTACTCCAATTGTTTTGCACATATCGAAGTACTGAGAGTTTATCGGAAACAGTCTCTCTACATCTGAGGTAGGAGTAAGTCAGTGTACACTCTACCCTCCGTCAGATCCCACTTTGTGAGATTATACTGGATATGTTATTGTTACGATGAATGATCTAATTTTCTTAATCAATGAATCAGGTCTATGTCTCTACTCTTAAAGCAGAGAACTATCCCATAACTGCTTTACAGTGGCACCCAGAGGTACAATGATGATTTCTTCTTATTCTATTAGTACAAGTAAAGTTGTTAAAAAAGGGTAGTATAATATCCTCACTTTAAAAAGTTTCTCGTGAGGATTCATATACCCGACTCAATATGTTTAAATTTTCTTCTTGTTGAATTCATTTGGTTTGATTTTTTACATTACCGCAGAAAAGTGCTTTCGAATGGGGATCATCAGCAATCCCACATTCTGAAGATGCAGTTCAAGTGACTCAACTTGTTGCCAACTATTTTGTCAGGTAAATCATATGGTACAGAGGCGACTCAATAGAATGGGTGACCTAAAGCCAAAACTGAAACCAGTGATAATTGGAGTTGTAAAATTCACGAAGACTCTAGTTTAACAATTACAGATATTGGTAGTGTTTTCATTCATTCGACGATTGTATTTATGGTTGAAATCCTTCACTTCTAATGTATTAATGCAGTGAAGCAAGAAAGTCTTCTAATAAACCAGAAGCTCAAAAAGTACTTGACAATCTCATCTACAATTATGAACCAACTTATAGTGGAAAGATCGGGTAGGTAATTCTGCATTTTTTACATTTCTAATAAGCAATCACTTCAATTTTTTCAGTAATTTGATGTATTTATGTTGTTTGTCTTGCAGGATTGGTTACGATGAGGTTTACGTTTTCAACAGTCCTGCTATGGACTCTGTTTAGATGCAGAGGAAATGCATATGACCTAAGTAAGAGTATTAGAATAACCGCGATGGTATGATTAGGCAATTGAAGAGATATTTCGAGTTGTAATTGAACTTATTCATGCTTCAAGCAATCGATGGTATGATTAGGTAATTGAAGAGATATTTCGAGTTGTCATTGAACTCATTCATGCTTCAAGCAATCGATGGTATGATTAGGTAATTGAAGAGATATTTCGAGTTGTCATTGAACTTATTCATGCTTCAAGCAATCGATGGTATGATTAGGTAATTGAAGAGATATTTCGAGTTGTAATTGAACTTATTCATGCTTCAAGCAATCTGCAGTTTCATTTCAGAAAAATACTAGTTTATATTTACTAATAGAATGAAATGCACATAACAAAAAAGTTTGGAACTGACATCCAATTTCTCACAATTATTCCAGTCTCAACTCCTAATATATCTAACAAATCAACAATAACTATTTCGAGATAAAGTGTAATTCAACATGTAAGATTTGGAAAGACTGGTGTATACATAGACTTTGCCTTGTGAATATTCCTAGCAAATATTGGGACGATAAATGAAAATTTTTAAATTATAGCTTCGCCACTTTTTAAAAATTTGAAAAAAAGGGTGTTATGTGTTAGAAACAACATATCCACCAAAGTGACTTTCTATTTTATTCTTGTAATGTTGTCAACCAAATCTTATCATATTTGTTGGCTCACTCAAAACGTACTTTGGTAGTTCATATTTGGTACCTGCAACAAATCATGTTTAATTTCTGTTAGTAAAATAACATATTTTTATCACTATAATATGCGTGATCAAATAAATATGTTCAATTTTTTTTTATGGCTCACTTCCGGAGGTGTGTTAGAATATAAAAAAATAAAATGCACATTAATGTGTATACAGATTAGAGCTGTCAATATGGGCTAAGTCTGTTGGGTCGGTCTGGCCTAGCCTAGAATTTAATAGGGTTGGGCTACAATTTTTGGAACCCATTTGAGAAAAGAGTTTTTTAACTCGGCCTGAATAAGCCTGTTGATTTGTGGGGCTTGAATAGCCCATATTGACACCTCTAATACAAACCTGACCTCTACGGAAAAGATAGAAATATTGTTACTGATAGACTTTTGATTCAAGTAAAAACGATTTGAAACAAATAATGTATATCAATAAAAATAAAATTTTAAACTTACTAGGAAAAACATTTTTTTAATAATCACCTGATTCATCGTAGCAGATGGTCATGTTAGTGTTTTGGGCAATAATTCCAGCACTGTCCACAATTGCTTGAGCTAGTTCTAGATCTGCTTCTGCAGCGCCTCGAAGCGCATCCCAGATTTCTGTTACAAAGTTAATAAACAAAAGTCTATAAACTCGTGTCTTATCTGCTTTTGTATCATGTTGATTTGTATGATCACGTATAGTAAATAAAAAAGAAACTTTTATGTTTGGTTAGGTGTTAGGGGGTGGGGATGGGAGTGGAGGTTTGTCATGATTATTGTATAATTTACCTAAATTACGTAGTGTTTCTCTATTCTTTAACACATTATAAGTCCTTTAAAATTTATGGATTTCGGATACATAGTCGAGGGATAAATCCGAGAAGGGAGGGATGTATCAGAAAGGGGATAGGACATATAGATACATAGGGGAAGGATGTATTTGAGAGGAGAAGAATGTACGAGAGAGAGGATAGGAGCCTGATATATAGGAGATGGATATATCCGAGAGCGCAGAATGTATCCGAGAGGCTAGGGATGTATCCGAGAATGACAGAGATGTATTAAGTGATATATCCAAAGAGAATTTTTTTTAAATGGTAAAGAATTGTAAAAATTATGATAAAATAAGATTTATCTTTTTGGGAAATTTTTCCATGATTATATTCGATCCAAAGATTAACTTTTCATCGAACCTATTATACTTATATAACTATATGGATTCAAACCTATGTTTTTGTTATGATTTTAATGAATTATTACACATAAATCTATCTTTCGTGTCGAAAGTTCTTGATTCAGATGAACATAATGTTTATATATAGTTGCATATGTCCCTATTGTACCTTATATCATTTCATGATCTATGCTTCATAGAGCATTAGAATATAAGTTTCATCGTCGATACACTATGAAAAGAATTTCCTGCTTGATTCATGAAAAATTAATCAAATCTACACATGAGCGATATCGTTTATTGAGGATACAATCAATCAAATAATATACGTAAATAAAAGTGTGCCCTCTCGAACACAACTTAATTAAAATTTTCTAATGAGATGATTAGAGAATTATTTGTACCTTTCTTGCCACCATAGTGTGGAGCAGTGTCCCAAAACTCTTCCCTCAGTTGCATCAATTGACTTCTTGTTATTGGTTGTGGATGCTTCCATGGTTTTGGCTTTCTTATTATCCTTTTCCCTATCCCTAAATTCAAATTATTTAAAAGAAAACTATAATTTCACAAACTAATTAAGGTAAAAATAACAAGTAAATTGAATCAAGAATTTTTTTTTAAAAAAATACTAACTGTTGGGCTTGACATGAGATGATCCACAAGCACCCATAGTGATCCTTTTTTAGCATACAAATTCCCTATAGTTACACACATAAATCATAGTGGCATATAAACTTTATCAAAAATTGTTTTGAGTTAAAATATTCCTCAGAATGGCAAATGAGATATAAGAAAATAATGAGGTTGAAATACTATATTACTATAACTTTGGATAATATAATATTAAAGAGGAAAGTTATATTGGTAGTTGGCTTTGAATTGTTTTCTCGTGACTACACCGTTTTATGCCACTAGATATTAATTTTTTCACCATGGAAGATAATTAAAAATGTAGAAAAGATGGAACTTGTTATCACTTTAATATCTCATATACATTTTCACTTTAATTTTTAAAAGTTAAGTTTTAAAGTTTATTGTTTGAAGTAAAACATCCCATTTTTGTGCATTTTAAAAAGAAAATTAGTCTACACATAGATATTCTATGATTTAGTCGAAGGTCTTTGAAAATCATTATTTCTATTTTCACGAGGTAATCAGGTAGGGATAAATCTGTGTATATTCTATCTTCTTCAGACCTTATTAGTATCATATTGTTAAAGATTATAGTGTTAGAGTGGTAATTGGTAAGTAATCAATCATTTATAATTAGAGGTCTCAAATTCAAAGTTTTTCATTAAGGAGCGGTTTGTCCCAAAATGTAACTTCTTATGGCTAACACGAATTAGTCAGATTCCAAAATAGGTACCTATGGGAAACACCAAAACAAATATTACTCTCTCTGTCCAATAATAGTTGTCAATTATAGACTTGACACATCTCTTAAGAAACAGTAAATAATATATATGTTTTTAAAAAACAAATTTATTTAAATAGGTTAGAACCATTTCGTCCAAACCATATTTACCCATATTATATTTGAATGAATTATAATCCAAATCATTTTTTTTCAAAATCATATCCAACCCATGCAAATTCGTACTCCCTAAGGTAGTATTACTCCACTATTTTATCTTTTTGACTTTAGTAAATTTAATACTTTTGAGAAATGTATTAAATAATAAATATTCAATACCAAGGATAAAATCGACGCAAAAAATAAATTCTCTTAATTTTCTGAACTTGATAAGTTTTTGAACAACTATTGTAGTTATTTTAGTGATCCACAAATAGACCTGTCATCCATCATATTGAGAAAGTGATTAAAATATCATACTGGACGTTGACTGGTAAGAGTTCAACTTTTCACTAATTTTTAGTAGTGATTATCACGTTAAAACTGTCCTTGCTTTTAATTTTCATTTCAGTCCAACTTTCAACAATCTCTCACTTTTTGCAAGAAAAAAAAAAGCTCTTTTTCCAGCATCATTTATACATATAAATGATGAGACAGAATTCTATTGAAAATACTGAGAGATAAGTTCATACAACATACACAAAAGTCTTTATGTAAATAAATAATACTACTACACTTTCTTGTGAGTCGATCGTCGTTTCGCCTGCTGGCTTCATTAAGGAGATAGGAATGAGGATTCTCCACAAGTTAGAAACAAAACTGTTTTGATCATCAAGAATATCACGGCTGTCATCTTTCAAACCTCAGATATCACATGAATGTCTCATCCTTTTCCTATTACTTTCACTCCCCGGCAAGACGTACGCCACTACTTTAAGATTTTTTTTCCTTCCTCCAGAAAAGAGTAAAGGAAAATCTGTGAAATTACTCAATACAGCACATATGACTTGATTGACTTGACTTGCTTCCATTAATATTAGAGTTACAACTTACATGACAAAAAGGTTTGATCCTCCCTGCTTATAAAACTTAAAAGTCATTAGTGAGACTAGAGTCATGCGTACCGGGGGAAAGAGTCTCCATACTTGTTTCTCATGCTGTAATGGGCAAACTTTGGATCCTCATAGTTTACTGCTTTCGGTTGATCAGCAGGTTTTGTCTCTACTCCTGCTGCTCCAACACTTGAATCATGTCGCCGATGCTTGGTTCTTTCCTTCTGACTTTTAGACCTCACGTGCACGTATGAAGGAACCTCGCCTGATGCTCCATAGTATTCTGCATACTCATGTCGTCTGGAAGACCTGTGCTTCGTTGACAAGTTAGGGTCTTTTGAGCTACTCGATCTAATCTTGGTGGGCTTGCCCTCGGGTACTACTTTATCACCGACAGCTGGGACATGTCTGATCTCGGAAGCGGGTGGTGGAGCCCTCTGCTTTTGAACTAATGGGGGCTCAACTTCATCTTCAGGCATGATCAGTGAATCTTTCAATGGAGTTAGTCCGGGTCTAATGAAGCTCTTGGGTCTATACCGCAGAGGAACGGCATAGCCAAAAAGGGAACCCAGACCCTCTATTGCAAGCTTGGCCAAATCCCAGAGTAGCTGTCCAAATGATGGCCAACCTGCTTCTTGTTCATCTTTCACAGTTTCAACAACTGGGGTCGGCTTCTCCTTTAATAAAGAAGGTTCCTCTTGCTCCACTTCCACACGTACTTGCTGCAACTATACACGATTAGCAAATATCATGATACCAAGCTCATGCCTGTCTTTTCATATAAAGCATGAAAATTTTAACAATATGACTTTTGAGGCCATATAAATCTTGTATGCAATTCCTCAAGGATAAACAACTCATAAGTGAATGTCCTGACAAATGGGGTACTAGAAGAAAGTGTCACGGAACTACTATTTATTTGCCAAGATATAGACCGAACTGACAAAATTTTTAGACATCACTGATATTCCTCAAATGTAAATCCTCCATTTAATTTAAAAAATAATAGAGATTTAGTTGATCTTCGAGGGTGTTCCAACATTTCATTGGTAGGCAAGAACATGAAAATCAATACGAACTGGACTCAGAGATGGATGCTAGAAAAATAATCACGTAATGCAAGAAAGAAGACCATGATCAGAATCACCTACCGTCTTTGAGCCAAATCCTTGCTGGAGCATGCATGCAGCGTATCCTATTATAATAGCACCAATAACCATGAGAACATCTGCAACAAGTATAAGATGACGTTAGAGAGAACCAAAGCGATCCATCTTAGTGCATTCCATACATTGCCAGGCTGAAGCAACTAGTGTTAAACATCTAAAATTACACAAACAGAACAACATAATATAGTAATCTGTATATCCATTCTTTAATTGGCAGTTCCGAATTTGGGTGTGAGACTAGCTATGTTTCTCTTCTTTCTAAGTCATTTTCACATCTTCATCTGAGAGTGAGTACTAGGTGTTAATACGTTTTTACTTGGATCTAGCAAGATATGCTTATAGAGGGGAATAGTTGGACACAAACAAGTGCAAGTATAGATTGATAGATCGGATTTTTTGTTGACAACTGAGAAATCCCCGAGGGCCTTCCAATCCCGAACATGGGTCTAACTTATCGGATTTCAGTAACAAACTCAACTCAATATGTAACTTAAACAGAATAAAAGAGCCCAAAACTTGTCTTTACTCAAGAAGAAACATTACATCATCACTGATTTTCTCATACCAAGTTGAACTTCAATTCACACTGCTAAATTCTAAACATTAAGCCTTGCAAGAAATGCTAGCCAAAATGAGATCTCATCATCACTATAGATTTACAACTCCACACGTAAGAGTCTGAATACATTTCATTGCTGAAAGAGAAAATGGTAAGCACACCACGTACCCAACTGATTTCAAAGTCAGTACATGGATATACCTAGTCAGAGAATGATAGAGCTAAAGCATTGTTCATATCAGAATTCAGATATCCACCAAAGATACTATTGATGGTAAATTGAAGATTAAAGAAATCGGCTACTCTAAAAGGATTCAAACCTATGGTTGACACTGAGCTGTATTGGTAGTCACAGTCCTCCTGACTGAGAGAAATTTGCCGAAGAGCAGCATTTCCTCGATCAACAACGAGTAATGAACAAGTTGGACGGACATATATAACATCGAAGTCGCTTGAAAATTGTGCATCTTCACTTGGCCCATCCCTGTATCCCGGAACATTAGACTTTCCTCCAGCAATTGTTGTCACACCTGAAAATAAGAAAGACGAAGACCTTTACTTGATAGACAAGATCTTTTAATCATTTTCCTTTTACTTCCAACAGTACCTTCACCCTAATTCTTTCATGAGACATAGAAGTAACCCAATGAACATTAATTAGAATGTCATATGTCACAAAACAAAGGCGAGATGTCAAGCATAACAAGCACCTGCTTCTCCAATCTTCCTAATAGCCAGATTTGAGGTATCAGCAACATAAATGTTTCCTTTGTCGTCCATGGTAGCTCCTTTTGGATTTTTGAAACGGGCATCACTTGGCTTCCCGTCCACATGGCCAGTGTGACCTTGAAATGAACCAGCAACTAATCTTGCTCTACTATCTGCACAGTCAGCAATCTTAATAAGCAAAAGACACATAAATCAAAAGTAAACCACGTATCTCCATTCGTCCACAAGACAAGACGATTCTCAACCATTTTCCAACCCCAAAAAAAAGCTTACATTGAGATAACGGGGGAGTAATTCTAACGATTTTGCTATTAATAGCATCAACAGCAAAAAGTTCACCATCCTCTGAGACACGGATTTTATATGGCACAACACCAAGTTCATTTCCTTCTACAACAGTCTCAACTAAGTAACCTTCTTCGAATTGAAGAAAATTTCCATCTGTACCAACATAACACACAACAAAGTAAAATTTCTAATGCTAGTATTCAGTCACTTCTGCTCAAATCCAAATCTGCAATGTCAAATGTAAAACCAAAAAAAAACAAAAACAAAAAAAAGTTAACCTGATTGAGGAGTTTTAGAGGTAGACCTAGACCATTTGAGTATAGAATTCAAGTGCTTAATCAATGGCCCTGAGTTGCACAACAAAAAAAAATCAGTCAAATTCACAAAATCAATCGAAAAAACCCGAACAAATCTTAAACAGCTCAGTTGATTGACTAACTAAACTTTCACCTTATTCGTGAAGATTCAATTCCCCCCCATTTCCCCTTCCCCTACCTCAATTTTTATGAAAATTAAAAATTAAACCATACCTATATCATACAGAATTTATCCCAATCAACATCAACAACAAAAAAAAATTAAATCAGAAAATTGTATCTTACCAGCAGGAGCAGCAGCATGAACCTGAAATTGAAGATAAGCAATAAAAAAAGCTATC